GCCCCAAAAAGTTCAAAAAAAAAAAAAAAAGCCTGGGGCTACACTCATAGTCTAGAGGTTAAGGCAGGACCCCACGTGGCCACCGCAGTGGCTTGAAACACGTACCCGGGCATGGACATGCGTACAAATGGGGAGGAGTGGTCGCAGGATGACCATGCCCCATTGGGGGCTAACTTTTCCCTCTGTCTCTCTTTCTAGGAGGTACAAGTGCCCTCTGGCAATTCAGAAGAAAGAAAAAAAAAAGCATGACAGAGAAAAAAGACAGGAAGAAGATGGTAATTCTCTTGTTAAAGGGCCTAAAAGATCTAGAGGAAGTTTTGTATTAGTGTGGGAAAATATTTTCATGTTTTAGGACTGAAAGGATAAAAGTCCACATGGAAAGAAAAGTTGGAATATAAGTACAGAGAAGAGACATCTCGGAATAAGTAGGTCTTTGCGAGAGGCAGAAAGTGCATCCTCGGTTGGCCCTGCGTGCAGCAGTAATGCAATGCTCGGGAGGGGCCGGCCCCACAGGGCAACCACAGCTCCCATTCCCAGCCTCGTCTTCCTAAAACATGCTTAGTACTTGCACAAGAATCCAAGCTCTGACAGGGGACCATGATGTGACCAGGCCCCGTCGACGTCGACAGGGTTCCTCTCTCTCTGTCACATGCACGCATTTTATCACAAATATCCCCTTTTATCATTAATAAAGAGCTCATCCTTTCACGTAGGAGAAAAGAAGACGGGTAGGTCAACTGCAGTAACTGGAGGGGAGGGGGAGAAGTTTGCCTCAAACTCAAAGACAATGACGGTCATTTGCAAATCTTGGAAGGGGATGTCATTGTTAGGAGGGCCCAGGAATTTGTCACCACCCACCGGTTGGCTAAAATATGGATTCTTTCCTCCATCTCAGCAACCAAGGGGTGAGCACAGAGAAGTTTCAGGAAGGCTGGAGATTTCCCAGGCTTACAGGATGACATACCTTGGGTCCCTGTGGTCCCGGCAAGCCTTCTGGACCTGGGAATCCTTTCTGGCCAGGAGGACCAGGGGGTCCGGGAAAACCTTTATCCCCCTGTTAAAAATCAAAACAAGACAAGAAATATATAGAACAACTGCCATCCAATAACAACAGCGAAAATGCCCATGACCCTCTCATTCTCTTCTTAGTGACTTAATGGTGAGAGTTGGCCAATTTTTCCTTGGAATAAAAAATAAGTAGCAGTGAGTGTGTAGATAGCGAGAACGCCCTCAGCTGTTAGTGTTCGTCTTCAACAAATGATAATCAGCACTGAGCAGTGAGTGTGTAGGTACCTAGAAAGCGCTCAGCTATTGGCATTCATCTATACGCTTGAAAGTGCTGACCGTGGTTCGCGTCCTGGACCCGGTGGCTTAAAACTCATTCCAGGCACGTGTGCGTGCGTGCCCAAGATCCCGAGAGGAAAACAGAGGAGAAGGGATTGCGGCGTGGCTATCCCCCCCGGAAGGGTGATTTCTCACTTTCTGTCTCTCTGTCTCTCTCCGTGTCTGGCAAGCGCACTCGCCCTATAGCAAAAACCTCTCCAGAAAAAAAATAAAAGAATGTTTTTAGGAGAAAGATGATATAATGGCAAAGGCCCTAGAAAAAGTGAATTAAAATACATTAGGCCTAATGGTTTACATGGTTCTACCAAAAAATAATCTCCCATGGAAATAGATCCGGGGATTACTTTTTAACAGTACAGGCCACTGGTTTATATGATCAATGTAGTAGTCACATAATTGGCAAATTAAACAAAAATTAGGTCAGCGATTTCACATGTGCGCGTGCACAACCAGTAAGAAGAGAAACCAAAGAATCTGTGACCTACTGTCACCACTCAGTTACCCGCACACACCGCAAAGTAACATCTCACACACAGTAGGGACTTGCTGAATACAGGGTGGACCAGAGAGAGCGGTCGTGACTCTGAGTCTGCTACATTCATAATTCTGGGGAAAAACCTAAATCAAATGTCATGGGAATTATAAAATGATTTAAAATGAATCTGGTGATTATAATTAGCACATAAATTATATGCAAATGAGTGTTTTAAAGAGCTAAGGACTGACTGGATCCACAGTGCGGCGGCAGTTAAGCAGTCAGGCGCTGTTCCGAGGGACCCATCTCACTCGGCCATTTGTATCATATTTGGAATGCCAGCCTTGAGGCTTGAAAACAGGACAGGCTCATGCTGGCATGCCCGGATCCTAACAGGATGCAGAGGTGGAGGAGGGAGGGGCTGGGTGTGGCCAGGCCCCATTGGGGGATGCTTGCTCTCTCTCTCTCTCTCTCATGCATGCATGTGCCCTCTGGCAGAAAAAAAAGAAAAAGAATTTAAAATATGTTCTTTCAAAATGTTCTAAAATAATCACCCTTCAATACTGTTAAACAATTAATTAGTGTCTCTGTGAAAAGGGTTTTGTAAACAAAGATAAAACTTCAGCTTTGCCTCTGTCTTAATTATCACGAATTGCAAGTTAATGGAGCGAATTAATGAGATTTCACG